CGTCGGACATAATTAACTCAAACGGCAACCTATTTATTAGCGAACAGCAGGTGTGGACCACAGCCAGCTGTTAATCTTGGTCGTTGTCGCTTGAATTAAGTGCGAATTTAGCATTCAGAGTTAATTTAAAATTCAAACTTTTAGAAAGACATGAATGCTTTTATTCTTTGACAACAGGATGGTAAACTCTCCTTATCCTCATTTTGAATAATGAAAAATATATTTTCACCAGCTTTCAACTTACGTCTGGTGACTCGGAGTAAACAGTATTCCCACATGTTAGGAAAATGTGAATATAAATCTATGCGAGGAAACCAGTTTAACCGGTACTACAATACACGAGTGTACAAATACCGCGTGATATTTGTACTCGTCTATGGCGTTATTCGTACTCGTCTAGGAGTAGTCGGATAATAATTAGCGATACTACACAACAAATCGTCTAATAAGATATATTTATTATCCAACTGTACAAAATCGTTTACTCGTTGTTTGTATTTTGATTCGCGCTACAGGCTCGTCAAAATAAGGCACAACTCGTAAAAATACTCAGCGATACTACACAACGAAACGTTTAATAGGATATATGTACTCTAGGGACTACCTCAAAACAAAAATTAATTGATGCTTTAAGTGGTTGCGACGGGTAAAACCATAATAATGGTAAAGAACCACTAGATGAAGGTATTTTGATGTCTATGATGGTAGTGGGGAGATCTACGAGTAATTATGTTTGACCTCTGGTATTTTTATCTCCAATTCATGTTCTTGATTAACTTTTGGTATGCGCAATACACCAAAGCTTCATACTGCCGGGTCCATTAACAACTGCCTGCAAACGCTTAATAAGCTATGTTCTATTCATTACAGCCGTTTAACATAAAGAATTGGATCAAGTGAATAAGCAGCCAAAAGGTAGACATTTTACGACTTTCGTCCAAAGCTCTGTTTAGGTAAGTTTTTGGAATTTTTTGAGAGACCTGTGTATCCAACTCCTCGTACAAATTCTACCTTGTCAAAACATTTTTTAAAGTTCTCATCCTTACTGTCTTCTGTGCTTTCTCTTTATTTACTTAGTTAAAAAAGTGTTTTGTGCTCATGATTGTGCCCTAAACTCGATCTGTAAGACTTATCTTTAATACCCTTTTTCCTATTATAGGTCTATTGAAAGATAAAAATACGGTTTTTTTCGTAAACAGTGACTAGGACGTCCCCTTCTTTAGACACAGCAACAAAATACGGTGTGTGGAAAAATTGTTCTGTCACTGACAGTAAGTCTCCTTCAATAGTAAATATTTTAAGTCTCTGGTTTCCAGTGTCACAGACGATCAAATTGTTGAATTTATCAATAGCAAGTCCAGTAGGGTGAAGTAACCTTCCACGACCAATTTCATACAGAAATTTTCCGCCCTCATCAAAAACATTGACAAGGTTAGCTTTGAAATCAGAGACAAAGAAACGATGTGTGTCTTCGTGATAAATGGCGTACGTTAAGGATTGTTCACACTCTGAAGCAGTAATACGTGTCACCAACTCCGTTCTGTCCGGAGAGATTACTATGACTTCATTTCTCTCTCGATCACATATCGTTATGTAATCTTCGTTATCAATGGATATATGAAAAGGAAGCTTCAAGTGCTCATTGTCGATGTACTCGACAAACTGACCCTCCTCAGAAAACAAAGACATTTTATGAACATCACCAGGAGTGACAGCAATTATGTGACCGGACTTGGTGAAGTCTAATGAGGTGCAGTTAGACCTCAGTCTTATCTCTCTCAGGTAGCGGCCTTCACAGTCAAACAGCTGAATTCTCTTATTTTCGTAGTCAGATACGGCAATAGTTCCTGTCTTATCACTTACAGCAATGTCATAAGGACCATTAAACTGTCCAGGTCTGTTACCACTTGAGCCAAATCCAAAGTTCAACTGATACAGATGTGGGATAACTTGAACCCTCCAGGGAATATGATCCAGCGGTTGTCCATTAACCTCAATCTTCACCTCGTATAGTCCGACACGATATGGGGTATAGATAACCGTATAGCAACCTTTTCCGTCATTTTCAAACTCTACATCTGCATCCAAGTCACTCTCTGTGCAATTGCGAATATCACATCTTATGTGGTCTTCCTCGTCATAGCACTGACTTTCCTCTGAATCTCTCGTAATAATAGTAAAATGTGTCTCCATCTGTTCTGTCGCATACCCAGATAGTCCTTTGA